AAAGTACAGGAAAAAGTTAAATATTAAAAAACTGTTTGTTTAACACTGTACACAGAATAGTAAAATATTAAAATATTGTTTATCACTGTAGACTGAATTAAAATTACGAAAATACCCACAGATTATTTGGTGAATTATTTTGGGTTGCCTTTGATTTTTGGGCAAAAGAGAGTTACTACCCTCATGTTTAATGGTTTTCAACATTTAGTACATTAATTTTTTTTCATCCCAGAGTCATACCTAAAGTGTAAATTTTAGGACAGTCTCATACATCCGTTAGTCAAACTGTTAGTTCTCTCGTTAAGTGATGACGTGGCGCCCTGATTGGGCTCCACGTGTCATTAAAAATATTAAAAATTTATTTAAATAAAAATAATATTTTAAAATATTTTTAAAAATATTAAAATAATATTTTTTTTTTTTCTTCTTCTTCTTCTTCTTCTTCTTCTTCTTCTTCTTCTTCTTCTTCTTCTTGGTTCGGTTTCTCTTTATTTTTTTATTTTTTTATTTTTTTCCTTCTTCCTCCTCCTTCTCCTTCTTCTTCCTTCTCCTTCCTCCTCCTTCTTCTTCTCCTTCTTCTTCCTTCTTCTTCCTCTTCTTTTCTGGGTTCCGTTTTTTTTTTTTTTTTTCTGTTTTTTTCCTTCTCCTCCTTCCTTCTTCTTCCTCTTCAGACACATCCCCAAATCAGTTCCTGCTAACACAGGAGGAAGAAGAAGGAAGGAGGAGAAGGAAAAAAAAACGGAACCCAGAAAAGAAGAGGAAGAAGAAGGAAGAAGAAGGAGAAGAAGAATGAGGAGGAAGAAGAAGGAGAAGAAGGAGGAGGAAGGAGAAGGAAGAAAAAAAAAAAAAAAAAAAAAAGAGAGAAACCGAACCCAGAAGAAGAAGAAGGAGAAGAAGAAGAGAAGAATAAAAAAAATATATTTTATTATTATTTTAATCTTTTTTTATTTAAATATTTTTTAATATTATTTTTCTTTAAATAAATTTTTTATTTTTTTAATGAAACGTGGCGCCCAATCAAGGCGCCACGTCATCACTTAACGAGAGAACTAACAATTTGACTAACGGATGTATGAGACTGTCCCAAAATTTACACTTTAGGTATGACTCTGGGATGAAAAAAATTGATGTACTAAATTTTGAAAACCATTTAACATGAGGGTAGTAAACAGTCTTTTGCCCTTGATTTTTTTTGTTTTGGGGTATTTTAATCCAATAACTTTTTATCGATTATGCATGACCCCAAAATTTTGTCAGCATGCGTACTGTTCATCAGCCTTCCGCTTAATAGGACAAGGATTGTCTGCCCTCCCTCTTTCGGTGTCCTCCCGTGCCCTCTTGTTTATGTGGTCACGGTTAAGTCACGTCAACATTTTATATTATTATTCATTTTTGTCATATTATCTCGATAAAAAAATAATATAAAATGTTAACGTGGCTTAACCGTGACCATACAAAACAAGAAAGCATGGGAGGACATCGGAAATGGAATGGCAGACAATCCTTGTCTATAATAGATAGATAAAGCACAACGACTGCGTTTGTCAGTAAGGGGTTCCAACTTTATGGAAACCAACAAAATCATTTAACAAATACTATACACAAACAAACAAATGTATACATATGTAATATTTGTGTGTATATATTATATGAAAATATAAACAAAAATTAGCGTTTAACGACTACATGTTAGCAGAAGAAATTCATGGAATTTAAAACAAATGAATCTGAGCCGCTTATATTGTAATATATGAGAGTTGGACTAAGGTAACATCTTTCTTATTCTCTGCTACCTTAAAAAATAAATATTAATATTGTTTTAAGAATTATTTCAATTACTTTCGTTAAATGAGTTTAATGTAGATTATTCTATCATTTCTTATAAAAAAAAAACACTTTCGTAGAGTAAAAATCACATTATATGGGATAGGACCAATATGAGCTTGTATGAACACTTTGTATTGCATTATGTGGTTCACTTGCTGGACTCAAGAATTTATCCGATTAAGCTATTATTTCCCAAGGAAATGTTGAGAAGTAGAAAACAACAACATAAATGAGAGTTGAGGTACCAAATGCTGGCATGACCAAATACGGCTTCTTTAGGCAACTTGCACATTGACAGATAGAGGTGGCAAATCAACCCATTGGGTTGTTAATGTGTAACCGCTAAAGACCCGTTTAATTTGATATCCTCATAATATAGAAGTGAGATTGGTAGTGGTGATGATAGTGCAAGGTGAAATCAACCAAAATAAATCTTAATGGGCACCCATTAACAACCTAATTAATTGATTTGCCATCTCAATGGGTGGATGTGTTAAATTTGGTACCATGAACAAATTTATAAACAATATACTAACTTTATCTTATTTTAATGACGGGTTTATGTTTTAGAGTTTAACGTGCACTCAACTCTAAGGAATGCGATTAAAACAAAAATCTACAAGGTAAACGACGTGTGCATGAAAATAAGAAAACTTTGCATGAAAATAAGAAAACTTTTTTATGTTTCACAAGTTGTGATATTTTCAGGATTTCCCATTTTTATTCCTATGAAAAATGCAAGTTCTTGCATTTCTTCCCCGTAGGAACTTGCTTACCTACACTCTCCATCGATGTGGTAAGTTTGCTTTTTTTGTTAATTAACATAAGGTTTAGGGGAAGATTGATTACTTCACCAATAGTGTCAGACCATACTCATAACCTTGAACATGAATGACTTACGCGTGATACCTAACTGCCAGCTGCCGTTAGTATGTATTTATGTAAGAATTTATAGATCAAACACCAAGAATGATGGCTGACAACTAGATTGCAATCTTGTTCAGGTGATACACAAGGCAAGGACCTTACCAACTAAGCCAACCCCCGTTGGCATTTTGCTCTGCCATTTGATCACTAAGGTTGAATTTCATTCATGCTCACGAGTGGGTCTTGCAATCAAGCTCTCTCTAGCCTTTGCCCTCGAGGGTCAATCTCTGTTTGACCACATAAAACTTTAGCAAGACACGTTAATATATTATCAATTTGGAATGCTTCTACTGTAAAATATCAATGGCATAAAACTAAGTTTTTTTTTTTTTGGAAATTGGAATAACATTTCCAGGGCAAATATGTCACAACAGTACAAGGAAGCCTACACCAACAAAAAAAAAAACAAGCAGTAAATGGGGTTAAAGAGTGAAGATTCTAGAGCCGAGTTCGAGCATCGCCCCTTCCCTTGCCATAAAAGATTATGGGGGACAAGGCAATCCATCCTTATTTAAAACAAAAACCAACGAAGATGGAGGTCGATTGACCCAAGTTACATTACACATCTCCGTATTACTACGCGAAGCTAACCTGTCTGCCGCCAAATTGGCCGATCTTGGGACCCAAGACCAGCGACAGCCTTGGAAAGAGTTCCCTAGCCTCAAAAATTTTGCCAAGGTAGGAAATGCTTCCTATTTTCCAGATTCCAACAAAGTTGATAATGAAGAAATCTAGTCCTTAGAATCAGATTCAATGATCACCCACTGGTTGCCCAAAACAGGAGCCAGTTCACAACCTCTCAAAATAGCAATAGTCTCTGTCATTGCCACATTAGGAGCTTGTATTGCATATCAAGCCGCAGCTACAAACCGGCCTTCCGCATCACTCATCACAATCCCCACGAAGCCATCCCTTGTCGACAGCTTCCAACTCGCATCAATGTTGACCTTCAGATAGGGATAAGACGAATGAGACCAATGCTCCACTAGAGCAGCCGTACGGGAAGCAATCACCAATGGTGGAGGAGCCTTATTGGCTTCAAAGAAAACAACTGCATAATTTGATATAGCAAGGAGAACCTGGGTAGGATGGATAGTTTTTTTATTAAACAAAAAATTGCATCTAGCTTTCCATATGTGCCAAGAAGTAAAAGCTACATGAGAAAGCAAAAACCTTTAATCCGCCTTAGACCCAAACTGCCGCGATGCAATGGAATGAAGCCAACTCGCCCATAAAGTAACCTCATTGCTATCCACTTTATAATTAAGCACCCCACCAAACCATATAGTTTCCACCCATAAGCATAATAACAAGAGGTGTTCAACAGACTCAACATGACAATTGCAAATGGGACACATCGGTGATGGAGCTTATTTCCTTTTAAATAAATTCACCACTGTGGCCAGAGCTCCATGCAATATTTTCCACATAAAATTACGAAGCCTTGGCGGGGTGTTTAACTTCCAAACAAACTTCAAAATTTGGCCCGGGGAAGAAGTGGAAGATGAGGGACGCCCACCCCTTGAGAAGCAGTGCCATGACCTATCCCAATGGTACCCGGATTTAACCGAATACAAACCATTCTTTGTGGATGGCCAGACAAGTCTATCATTCCGCCAAGGATCCCCAAGATGCGCCTCCAAAATAGCTTCCTGCTTCACCACTGATAAGAATGGTTGAAGAGAATTAATGTCCCACTCTCGGGAAGAAGGGTTAATGAAAGAGGCCACCCGAGTGTCCTTATTCCACCTGGCGAGGGATGACCCAACGACAAGGAAGGAAGCCACCTATCCACCCACAACCGCACAGTACACCCATCCATAATTTGCCAATGAGATCCCTGCAATGACAAATCTTTACCCACCAAAAGGCTGGTCTAAGCCTAAGAAGCCATGCTGCCCTGTTTATCCTCAAAGAAATAGCAGTGCGGAAAGTATCTGGCTTTTAGGACCAAAGCCCATAAGGAATTTGGGTTATGAATCAGCCGCCAACACTGTTTGGCAAGTAAAGCATCATTTAAATCATTAAAATTCCTGAAGCCCATACCTCTATCCTGCTTCATTAGACCCAAAATATCTTTGGACACCTAATGAATTTTCCGCTCTCCACCCACTTGTCCCCATCAAAACCCTGATAGTAAAGAGTCCAGTTCATTACACAGCGTCCCAGGAAACTTAAATAAACTCATTGGATATGCTGGAATTGCTTGGGCAACCACTTTTATAAACACCTCTTTGCTCGCTTGAGAAAGAGTGTTTTGCTTCCACCCCTGAATTTTCCTCATAATCCTACCCTTAACATATGCTAAACCCTTCCGCTTTGAACGATCCCACATTGCAGGAATAGTAAGATAAGTCCCCGGATCATAACCACTGGCATGTTAAGAACGCCTCCCAACTCCTCTGACATGTCCACCGGAGTCTTAGCACCGAAGAAAACACACGATTTTTGAAGATAAACTGCTTGGCACAAAGCCGTACAGTAGTCATTAATTATTTTAACCAGATGGCAACAATTTGAGCGATTTGCCTCCAGAAAAATAAGCGTGTCATCAGCAAAGAAAATATGAGGTATAACCTAACCATGCGAGTTCATCCTCACCCCCTCCAAAAACTTCTGATTCACCGCCATTTGTATCATCCGAGAGATTGATGGAGTGGCACAAAACTAAATTAAAAAAGAAAGAAGAATCTAATTTCAAACTTGTACACATCAACGAGTTTATTCATTCTTTTTCAGAGGAATTTTTGCATCCGATTTCTTCTCGCGCGTACCCCTCAGACTCCAGCAATCGTCGCCATGTGGCGTCAATCTGACAAGAATTATAGCAACATGTATAAATTTCCCAGAAACTCCAAGAACTAAGAGAAAACAGTTGCAGCAGCTGTGACTTCTATTTTTTTCTCTCTTGAAAAAGGTATGAGCTTTGATCACTCTGTCTCGCTCAAATCTTACAAAGTTTTCAGCTTTTTGCGATTTTAATTTCTGGGTTACTGTTCTTTGATAATTTCCTCATCTGGTCAATCTCCAATTTTCGTTTGTATTTTCATATGGGAGGAGTTCTTGAATGCTAATTAATCAATGTTAGTATATTGTTAGTTATTAACTTGATGTTTAAGCATGGACATTTGTGAATTTCCAGGTTTACAGTTTTGCAATTTTATTACTTGTTTGATTCTTGTTCTATTTTTTCTCTTGAAAAATGTTGATCACTCTGACTCGATCAAAATTTCGAAGTTTCCAAATTTATGCGATTTTAATTCTTGATGATTTATTCACGTGGGAAATCTGCATTTTTTTTTAATTTCGTTTTTGCATTTCTGTAATTTTGGCTGCTGGGAAGGATTTCTTGGATGCTAATTTATCAATGGATTGTTAACTATTAACTTAATTTTCAACTATGTACATTTATGAATTTCCGAGTTCAAAATTCTGCAAATTTAGAATTAAATGTTGCTTTTGCTATTTGTTGAATCGTGCAGTGTGTAGGAAATAACAGAGATTTTCAGCTCTAAATGGCCCAAGATACAAGTTCTGGCGCTAAATCACGGCGGCCACGTTCTGGTATGTTGCGGGATAAGGTTCAGCTTGTGAAAAGAAAGGACTGTGATCGATACGAGATTGTCCAAATTCCAGATGTCCTGTATTTGAGAAAGGTTTCTTTATAATTCGGGCGTGTCAGCTGTTGGCTCAAAAGAATGCGGGGATAATACTAGTTGGAGTGGCAGGCCCCTCTGGGGCTGGTAAAACTATTTTCACTGATAAAGTGCTCAGCTTCATGCCCAACATTGCTGTTATTACAATGGACAACTACAATGACGCTAGTCGAATCATCGATGGAAACTTTGATGGTAAGAATCTCATTTTTGAGTCCATCAAACATCTGTTTGATTTGATTGTTATAAACTTTCAACTCCATTTTGTAGAGTAAGGATCTGTTTAATTTTTCCTGTTATCAAAATTTCACATATTTTCAATGATTATTCTTTGTTGGTCATTGTGTTCTTTACTTCGTTTCCAAGATTGCTCACTTCCTTATTTACAGTTTTCCTGAAAGGTTTGTACTTCTGTTGTCTTCCTCCGTTGTCATATCTGAATCCTTTTGTTTGATTATTGATCATTGAATAAGTGATTTCACATCTGAGAGTCATGGTTGAACTCTTATTGTCATAATGTTTTGGAACAGCTCCCGCATAGGGTACAGGTGTCGCAGGTGAAAATTCGTATTAATTTGTGTGTAGGATTTCTGCTGATATGTGCTTGGTGGTGGATTGTTGCCTCCAAATATCATAGTTTGTTCTTCCATAGTAGGATCTCTAACTAGTTTTATCTCCTCACTCTTAGGAGTGGGTTACAGATAGTGCCTTCATAATATCGCCCAGAATAACTTTTGAAGTTAGCGTACGCTTACTTGGAGGTCTCATGGCCTTGGGGTATACAATTGCATCCATCTTGAAACGAAGCAGCCATATCTTCTGTGATGAGAAGGTTTTCGTGAAAAGTGATTGGTTGGAGCAACTTAATCGTCAATATGTTCAGGTATCATGCCACTCATACTTTTTTCAGATTATATTGAAATTGGTGATAAGAGGTCGCACTTGGTGCGATGGCAAATGCCTTCGTCCATGAGCGGTAGGTCTCGGGTTCGAGACTTGGGAGCAGCCTCTCCATAAATGGGGGTAAGGCTAGCCGACATTCACCTCTCCCAGACCCTGTGTAAAGCGGGAGCCTTGTGCACTGGGTACGACCTTTATATTGAAATTGGTGATAACTATTTGTTTTTCAAACTATAAATTGATAATTTTTATAATACTTAAAGAATCGGCCTGTGCTGTTCTTCATGTCAGATGTTTATTTCTGGAAACGAAAACAAGACTTCTTGTTTGCTTTTAGGTGAATTTTGCAATGCTTAGGACTAACTTAATGAACTTGCTTGAATGTGCAAGGAAATGATCGGTTATATGTTAAAGATATTTCACAGAAGCTCGGCCTGGATGGTTCATATGTTCCTCGTACTTACATCGAACAAATTCAGCTAGAGAAACTTGTAAATGATGTTATGGTACGACTCACTCTTAACTGATCATGCATAGTCATGTTTGTGTGTTGTCCTGATATGATAAATCTACAGACCTTGCCAGATGATTTGAAGTCACAGCTCAGCATAGATGATGATTTCGTTTTGAGCCCTAAGGAAGCACTTTCCCGAGTTTCTGCAGATAGGAGAAACAAGTATCTCAACCGGTAATTTTCATTCTCAGCTGTTCTTTCCGGAATTGAAAGGATAATGAACTATTCAAAGGGACAAGACTATGTCCAAGCTAACAAAACTTGCTGTTAACAGTAGAAGGTTTGATGGAAGAAACCCGGAATCACCTGCAGCAATTTCGAACCAGGTGAGTTACCCATTTTTTTAATATTCCTGTTGATGGCACATAACTATGAAATTGTTTTTCACCAATAATTTTACCTTGTATTATTTCAGGGAGTTATTACTCAACTTTCAGAACAAGTTTCTACGCTGAATGAGAGGATGGATGAGTTTACATTCTGTGTGGAAGAGGTGAACTCCAAGATCATGCACCAAATAGACAATTTGAGCAATCTTGTGCGGGAGTATACGGCAGAGAGGTTTCGCAAAGGAAGAACAGATGCTACTGGAAGAATGCCTGATATCGAATCAGTTGTACTTGTTCTTGCTTTGGCAATTGGCGGTTTAGGCGTCTTCTTACTCAGGAGTCTGCTATAAACATGTTTGTATAAACCCATGCTGTATTCCGAATAAGGGCAGCTTGCCTGTGTAATGGAAGGAGGCAAATATAGATTTCTAGGTTTATGCTGGTGTGGTCGGCCAATGTTGTAAATAGTTGGTATACTTTATACGGGAAGAGGAATTTAAACTTGAGTGCAAAGGGCGGAGTCTGGCCAACGCTTTTATACCATAGTTGTACAATAATTCCTTATGGGTCTACAAATACAAGTAAAAGTGTTCCAGATCAGCCAGTTATATCCCTATCCGTTTTACTTGATATCTTGTATTCTGCATAAAAATGGAAGATCTGGCAATTCATAATTTCATTTGGTTCTTAGATTTCGACTTTTAATCCGAGCGTTTGGACACACACAGTCGAAGTTGAGTTAATTCATCCAAGTGTTAGCTCCAAAAGGAGTTTTAACTTCAGTAGTTACACAAAACAAGCATATTCTAAGCTCACAAGTGGGTCTTGCAATCAAGCTCTCTTTAGCCTTTGAAAACTTTTGCAAGACACATTAATATATGGTAGCTTTCATGAAAAGGGTTTGGGCTAAGTTTATTTTAACAAAAAAATATGCTAACTTTATTTAATGAAAAACAATTAAATATTAATGAAAAACTCTTAAATTTTAATAAAAATGACAAAATAACTTAAATTTTAATGAAAATGACACAATTTTAATATTTAAAAAAAAATGATGCGCTGGACCCGCACATCCATCACATACACTATTTATGAACTGAACCCTATTTATGAAACTAAACACGGTTTATAAAATTGAATGGTTTTACACTATTTATTGATCCAGATTCATAAATAGAGTCTAGTTCTTGGTTCACTTTCATAAATAATGCCTAGTTATTGATCATATTTCATAAATAGTGACTAGTTATTGGGTATAGTTTTCATAAATACTGTATAGTAATTCGTATAGTTTTATAAATAATGTATCTTTCTTGGTCAAGTTTCATAAATAATGTCTAGTTATCGGTCTATTTTTATAGATACTAGCTAATTCTTGATCATGTTTCATAAATAGTATATAGTTATTGATCCAGTTTCATAAATAGTGTATAGTCCAGTTTCAGAAATAGTTTCCACCCATTGATTTAGTTTTAGAAATAGTGCCTAATTCTTAATTTCGTTTCATAAATAGTATCTACTTATTGGTCCAGTTACATAAATAATGTCTGCAAAATCGAAAACTAACGCAAATTAAATCAATAAAGTCAAATACAAAATATCCATCAAACTAAACACGGATGGTTTCAACTCCATATGTTCTTTTATTATTTATTAGAAAGTTTTAAAATAAATTCAATCATAGACGACTTTCGAAATTTGAAGATGGTAACCAGTTATGTCTTCCATGGGCAAGTTCCTGTTCTTGGGAGACCATTCCAGAGTAAGATGTCAAGTCCCATGACCATGAGGATTCAAAATTGCCACCGCCAACACCTTGCTCTTCATCGGAACATTCTTCATCGCGTGGGTTTCAAATATGAAACTCGAAGTCATCGGTCCATTTCAACACCAACTCGATGTCAGCGGGAAAAAAAGGGCAGCTTTTTATTTTGCAAAAATCATTTTAGTTAACTTTTTTTTCTTCATTTTATTGTTCTTATTATTAAATAAAGTTTTTGTCACATCCCGGCATATGCCCTCCTCACATCCTGTGCGTGCTGAGTAGAGATGAGAATATACATATAAGGCTTAAATGATCCACTCTCTTAGGCGATGTGGGATGTTACAATCCACCTCCCTTAAGGACCCGACGTCCTCGTTGGCACACTTCCGTCAGGGATTGGCTATGATACCAAATTGTCATATCTCGGCCCGGACCCTCTCCACATCTTGGGCTCGACTTCGTCGTAGCACGATATTGTCTGCTTTGAACCTCGACCACGCCCTCACGATTTTATTTCTGGAAACTCACACGAGAACTTCCTAGTGGGTCACCCATCATGGGATTGGTCTCGCGCAAACTCACTTAACTTTGGAGTTCTGATGGAACCCGAAGTTAGTGAGCTCCCAAAAGGTTTCGTGCTAGGTAGAGATGAGAATATACATATAAGGCTTACATGATCTACTCTCCTAGACGATGTAGGATGGTACAGTTTTAATATGACTTGATAAAAATTTAAAGTTTTGAAGTTATTTTTATTAATTTTTTTTTAATATATTATCAATTTAGAATCCTCCCACCGTAAAATATAAATAGAAAAGTCACTTTCTACTTTTTGGCCAAGACGGAAAATCACTCATTTATTTTTCATTGAAAATCAGTGGCCCAAAAATAAAGGTAAAAATGAAACAAGAATCTAATTCCAAACTTGTACGGTCAAAATCAACGGTGGTGATTTCAGGTCAGTACCTAATCCAACGGCTGTGTTTGTAATTACAAAGTTACACCCGAGTTTATCCATTTTTTTTCCGAGGAATTTTTGCATCCGATTTCTTCTGGAACGTACCTCTCAGACTCAAGCAATCGTCGCCATGTGGCGTCATATTTTTACATAAATATCCATCCCGCAATCTGACAAGAATTATAGCAGCAAGGTATAAATAAATTTCCCAGAAACTCCAAGAACTCCGAGAGAGCAGTTGCAGCAGCTGTGACTTCTATTTTTTTTTCTCTCTTGAAAAAGGTATGAGCTCTGATCACTCTGTCTCGCTCAAATCTTACAAAGTTTTCAGCTTTTTGCGATTTTAATTTCTGGGTTACTGTTCTTTGATAATTTCCTCATCTGGGCAATCTCCAATTTTCATTTGTATTTTCGTCTGGGAGGAGTTCTTGAATGCTAATTAATCAATGTTAGTATATTGTTAATTATTAACTTGATGTTTAAGCGTGGACATTTGTGAATTTCCAGGTTTACTGTTTTGCAATTTTATTACTTGTTTGATTCCTGTTCTATTTTTCTCTTGAAAAGAAAAATGTTGATCACTCTGACTCGATCAAAATTTCGAAGTTTCCAAATTTATGCGATTTTAATTTCTTGACAATTTATTCACGGGGGAAATCTGCATTTTTTATTTTGATTTTGATTTCGTTTTTGCATTTCTGTAATTTTGGCTGCTGGGAAGGATTTCTTGGATGCTAATTTATCAATGGATTGTTAATTATTAACTTAATGTTCAACTATGTACATTTATGAATTTCCGAGTTCAAAATTCTGCAATTTTAGAATTAAATGTTGCTTTTGCTATTTGTCGAATCGTGCAGTGTGTAGGAAATAACAGAGATTTTGAGCTCTAAATGGCTCAAGATACAAGTTCTGGCGCTGAATCGCCGCGGCCACGTTCTGGTCTGTTGCGGGATCAGGTTCAGCTTGTGAAAAGAAAGGACTGTGATCGATACGAGATTGTCCAAATTCCAGATGTCCTGTCATTTGAGAAAGGTTTCTTTATAGTAATTCGGGCGTGTCAGCAGTTGGCTCAAAAGAATGAGGGGATAATACTGGTTGGAGTGGCAGGCCCCTCTGGGGCTGGTAAAACTGTTTTCACTGAGAAAGTGCTCAACTTCATGCCCAGCATTGCTGTTATTACAATGGACAACTACAATGACGCTAGTCGAATCATCGATGGAAACTATGATGGTAAGAATCTCATTTTTGAGTCCATCAAACATCTGTTTGATTTGATCCATATAAACTAACAACTCCATTTTGTAGAGTAAGGATCTGTTTAATTTCTCCTGTCATCAAAATTTCACATATTTTCAATGATTATTCTTTGTTGGTCATTGTGTTCTTTACTTTGTTTCCAAGATTGCTCACTTCCTTGTTTATAGTTTTCCTGAAAGGTTTGTACTTCTGCTGCCTTCCTCTGTTGTCATATCTGAATCCTTTTGTTCGATTATTGATCATTGAATAAGTGATTTCACATCTGAGAGTCATGGTTGAACTCTTATTGTTGTAATGTCTTGGAACAGATCCACGCCTGACAGATTATGATTCATTGCTTGAAAACATACATGACTTAAAGGCAGGTAATCCTGTTCAGGTTCCAATATATGATTTCAAGACGAGCTCCCGCATAGGGTACAGGTATTGCATCTCTGCATGATGTGGAAATGCTTTGCCACATACATAACATGATACCTTTCATTTTCTTCTGATTCTGTTGTATATTGATGATCATTCCGGTGCTTCTAACAGAACAGTAGAGGCCCCTAGCTCCCGTATTGTGATCATTGAGGGCATATATGCTTTAAGTGAGAAATTGCGACCTTTGCTTGATCTTCGTGTATCTATAACTGGTGGAGTTCACTTTGACCTTGTAAAGCGGGTTTTAAGGGACATTCAACGTGCTGGCCAAGAGCCTGAAGAAATTATCCATCAAATTTCTGAAACGGTTGCCCCTTTATCCTGTGTTAAAAAATTTTCGTTATGAGTACAAAAGATTTATGGTGGTTCTCATCCAGAATTTTTGGTACAGGTGTATCCTATGTACAAGGCCTTTATTGAGCCAGATCTTCAGACAGCACATATAAAAATCACCAACAAGTTTAATCCCTTCACTGGTTTTCAGAACCCTAGTTACATTTTAAAGGTTGACTACTAAATTTTCTTGTTTTGGCAAAACATTTTCTCCAGTTTGTTTGTTTCAAACAATGTGTAATTGCTTTCTTTTTTGACTGCTTCACTGATATTTTTTTTTTTGCTTATCACAGTCAACAAAGGAAGTGACAGTGGATCAAATCAAGGCCGTTATATCGGAAGATCACAAAGAAAGAACAGAAGAAACTTATGACATATATCTTTTACCACCAGGTGAAGATCCTGAAGCGTGTCAGTCGTATCTAAGGATGAGGAACAGAGATGGCAAATACAATCTCATGTTTGAGGTTCGACATCTGTAAACTGAAGTTCTTAAATGATATATATGATTTGACTTTATCCTTCTAGTGTCACTGCCTACATGTATATCGGAGTTGTTTTCATCATTGATCAATGGCAAAGAAATGAATCTACAAAGGTTTATCGTCAGGATTGCTTAGATATGAGAAGACATTTCAGACCTCAAAATCTTCATTAATGTGATCCTGTTTCCCTGGTTATAGTCATTATCATCGCTGTCTTATTTCCCACTTGTTTTCTTTTCACGCATGTGTGAGCTACAATGCATACTAACCCTCTTCTTGGAAGCATTTGATATTTCTTCACCTAAAGCTACTCTCTTCATTTATTTCTTTCCCTAAGATTTTACCTACTTGTGGAGTTGAAAAGTTTGGGTCATAAGGTGCACCCGTTATTCCTTTCTCCATTGCAATAACAATTTAAATGTCTTTCCATTTCAG